TCACCAATATGCCTTATCTCATATTTCAGGTGTTGAATTGTTGTTGGCTTGTTGGTATAGACCTTACTTTTGAGATGACCCCAAAGGAAGAAATCTGAAGGCGTCAAGTCACATGTTTGTTGTGGTGAATTGACTTCGCTGTTTCGAGAGATGATGCGACCTGGGAACTTCTCATTCAAATTCTGTTTGAACGTCTATTTTCGGAATAGGCCTCGATAAAATTACACCTTGTTTAATTGTTAATCTTTCCATGGTTAGACGCTTAAAATTAATTCTCATTTAAAATCGGTCTAAGTTACTGGAACATCATATATATATATATATATATATATATATATATATATATGCCAAGTATATAATTGGTATATACGGAATGAATTTCAATAACCAACAATTACTATTCTTAAAAGAGTGCTCAATACAAAGTAGAGCAGATATAATTATTATTTATAAAAAAATTATAACATAAGTATGTTATAAAATTACTACAAAAATAGCCATTTTGTTTCAACACACTCGGTGTCTTATCAAGTGATGATGTTGAAGATAAAATAATTAATAATTATAAAATTATATGATAATATTTAATATTAAAATTAAAAACTGGCAATTTTAAAATCCAAATTTAATCACTATTAAGTTTAAAAACTACAACATTATTGAGAAAAGAAAAAATATATATGTTTATTCAATTTATTTCTTCGTTGAAATTACGTTCGACAAGACGCTACAATATATCCGGTCATTTGACAATACATGTATATATATTTTTATTCTAAAGTGTGTGAATGTGGTCTTAAACTCACGCGCAAAACAACAAAAACACAATCAGATTATAATTATTAGTTAGTATAAATTATTTTTAATATTACACGTATTTTAAAGATCTGAATAACTATTATAACATGATTTCGTTGTCAAGCTTTTGAATCTTTCTATACTTCGTTTTTGATTGGTTATTCTAGCTTTTGTAACAATGTTTCCCCCTAGTGTAGGGTCGTTAATTAATCTGAAACTTTTAAAACCATTTATTTTATCTTCAACATCATCACTTGATAAGACACCGAATGTGTTGAAACAGAATGGCTATTTATGTAGTGATTTTATAACATACTTATGTTAAAACTTTTTTTTATAAATAATAATTATATATATATATATATATATATATATATATATATATATATATATATATATAATTGGTGTATACGGAAGGAATTCAATAACTAACAATTACTATTCTTAAAAGAGTGTTCAATATAGAGTAGAGCAGATATAATTATTTATTTAAAAAAGTTATGACATAAATATGTTATAAAATCACTACAAAAACAGCCATTTTGTTTCAACACCTCGGGTGTCTTATGAGAACGAATAGAATAAAATTCCAACGTTCCTAACATTTAAAAGAGTGCAAAGATTGTCCATATTATTCCAAGCATTTTCGGCCACTTCTTTTCAAGTCAGTTTGTTTTAGGTGTTATTAATTTCTTTTCATCTTTTGACTGTTTAAGAAGTATTTTATTTTGTGTTATTTTGAATAATAGCAGGAGCGTTTAATCCAAGCCTTTGTGTGCTGTTGGCTGCCGGAATTCGAGTGAGCATCATTTTAATAAAAAAAAAAATAAATAAATAAAATTAAAAAGCTATTCTCATTGTTAAATAAGGTGATGTTGATAGTGGGAGAGAGATGTTTAATATACAGAGCCTCAATTAGAGCGAGATATATCCGGTAATGGGATTTATCCAGAATTTTAATGTTTTCGACCAAATATTTTATTAGGGTATTTTTTTGTTATTTATTAATGCTTCAACTAAAATCAATCAACCCCACCTTTATATATATATATATATATATATATATATATATATATATATATATATATATATGTGTGTGTGTGTATATATATATATATATATATATATATATATATATAAAGAGAGAGAGAGAGAGACTGTCCATAAAGTTCGTGTACTTAAAAATTTTATAACTTTATTTGTATTTTCGATAGAAATAATTTGTAAAAAGGATTAGAAAGAAGTAAATCTATATTTTTAAGGTTTTATTGAAATTTTATTTAAGTTTTCACATGTCCTCTATTATTAGCAATACAAAGGGTAATACGATTTTGCTGTTCAAGGAAAACATCTGCCAACTGACAGTAATGCCTGAAATCACATTAGTTATTTTAGCTATAAAACTAGGTACATTCAACGTTATAACATTTTTTTACAGATTATTTCTATCGCAAATACGAACAAAGTTATAAATTTTTTAAAGTGCGCACGAACTCTATTGACACTCTGTATATATATATATATATAGTTAGCACCAAAAACGAAATAGCTCGAGCAACGGGAACGGGGGAGAGGGAAGAACATACAAAATAGATTGTACAAAATGCCCAGATGTATACATTGGTGAAATATATAGAATTGTAGAAAGAATGATACAATGGGAACGGCAGAGATAGGTGAGATTAAAACAATTTAAACACAGTGGTAGTTCACCGTAATATATATATATATATATATATATATATATATATATATATATATATATATATATGGGCTGAAATTGTTGATATATATATATATATATATTGTCTTCTCTACCGGTTAAATCGGAGAAATTTTCATATATATATATATATGTATATATTAATGATTTCGCCCCATGCAAGGCAATGAAGGTACTGAGACGCAACGTGTTACTAAGTGTGTCAAAGAATAAGAAAAAAAAAAAAACATTATTAAAGAAGCACAGCAATAACAGAAGAGAAATTGAAAAATCAAACAAGCAGTATGAATAGTCATTGCTGATATCCACTGACGAGTGGACGAAGTGATGGCTGAACGTTTCGTTTACGAAAATCTAGAGTCGGAATGTGGAAGGTAACTCCAGTCAGCTTTGTGATAAACTTTATATTTATATTAATCCTCTCCTCTCTCTCTCGATACATAGATACATATACACACATTTATATATATATATATATATATATATATATATATATATATATATATATATATATATATATATATCTTATAAATATAAGTAAGTATAATCGTCAAGAAAAACCTTAGGTATTTTGGTTTGTAAATGAACAAAGCAATGCCCAAGGGAAAATAATGGATAAAAAATGAAAGAACTAAGAACATGAAATTGAGGCGGAAACAATCGACTAGAATCCAAGCTCAGAGTCCAAAGATAAAAACCTCCAACACGAGTACAATAAAAATAACTAAGCAAAGTGCTCAATACACTAAGTAGAGCAAATCTAACTATGAACCTAAAAAGCCAGGCATACCTAGCTTAGGTTTCACCTACGCGGATCGTCAGAGTACGATCTGCGTAGATGAAACCTAGGTAGGTCTCCATGGCTCTTTAGGTTCATAGCTATATATATATATATATATATATATATATATATATATATATATATATATATATATATATATACATAATGTAAAAGAACGAAAAAGAACATATAAATTAAAACGTTCATAACATTAATTTTTAAAAAGGGCTCAATACAAGAATATAGCAATAGATAATTATTATAAATGTTACATTGAACATGAAAGTTTCCGTGAGAAAAAATGCATATTTGTTTCGATGTCTAAAGACGTCTCGACAGGCGGTTAACGATGGTTGTGTAAGTATCTAAGAGTTTATAATATATATATATATATATATATATATATATATATATATATATATATAGAGAGAGAGAGAGAGAGAGAGAGAGAGAGATAATAATATCAAATCCGTAACTGTTAAGGATAATTCAAGTATAGAATACAGAGCAATGTGATGTGTATCAAGGAAAAGCTTAACACATTTGAAAATACATTAATAAATCATGTTTTTTTCTTTCCAAGTTTCATCATATCTTAAGCAAGAATACGAATATATATATATATATATATATATATATATATATATATATATATATATATATATATAAGTTTGTTTGTGGTACAGAATTTAATAATAGCTAGGAAAAGGCAAAATTAATATTTTTTAAAAGGCTAAAAAAAAGAACAAACCGTTTTCATCCCAGGACTTATCAAGTTTATTTTACTGGGAATAAAAAATATAAATTTCAAGAAACTAGAGTCCAATAACATTCAGACCTAGTAAGCATTCCGTCTGTTTACAAAGGGAAGCCCCACGGGATCTTATATACAAGGAGTCTAAAACCTTGAGGTGAAATGTAGAGTGGGGTCTAGATAAAATCAAAAACGGACCGCCCTAAAATCAATCACACATTTCTTTCTGTTACATGCTCAGCAATATATATATATATATATATATATATATATATATATATATATATATATATATATATATATTCGTGTGATTTGTTTAGTTAATTGTAATGCTAATGGTATTATTAACCGTTACCCTATAAGGAATCATTTGGTATTCATTCACCGAGCAGTATGGATTTCGGTTGAAATGTTTCAAATCTTTTAATACAATTTTTCATTGCTCACATGTTAGGTGTATGCCATTCTCATCGTCCTTCTGTGGTAGAAGATATCTGTTGGCTAAAGTCGCCTCTTTATCTGTTAGGTGATTGTACTAAATAAATGTGACATCAGAAAATAAATTAAATTACGAAGCTGATGATAACGTAACACAAGAATGCCAGACGAGAAATGATGTTAATTTACGAGAAAAAACGTTAAAAGACGAACAAAAAGATTGTCAACCATAAATAATGTTGGCAGAATAAGAATTGTTAAGCTCAAGACGAGTAATTGTTAGCGGAGGAGAAAGAATATTGACTTCCAAAAAAGAACGGCAACTTACCAGAAAGAACGTCAACTTACCTAAAAAAATATTGACTTACCCGAAAAAATGTTGATTCATGAGAAAGAACGTTTCAAAAACGAACACAAAGATTCACAATAGTAAATAATTGTAGTTACATAAGAATCGTGTAAAGCAATACGAGAAATGATATTAACGGAGGTGAATGAACGTTAAGTTACGAGAAAGAACTATGACTCGCAAAAATGAACGTTGAATTATGAGAAGGAATGTTAAATAACGAAAAAGAACGTTGACATGCGAAAATGAACGTTGAATTACGAGAAAGAACGTTGACTCGCGAAAATGAACGTTGAATTACGAGAAAGAATGTTAACTGACGAGAAAGAACGTTGACCTGAGAAAATGAACGTTGAATTACGAGAAAGAACGTTAACTTACGAGAAAGCACGTTGACTTGCGAAAATGGACGTTGAATTACGAGAAAGAACGTTAACTGACGAGAAAGCACGTTGACTTGAGAAAATGAACGTTGAATTACGAGAAAGAACGTTAACTTACGAGAAAGCACGTTGACTTGAGAAAATGAACGTTGAATTACGAGAAAGAACGTTGACTTGTGAAAATGAACGTTGAATTACGAGAAAGAATGTTAACTTACGAGAAAGCACGTTGACTTGCAAAAATGAACGTTGAATTACGAGAAAGAATGTTAACTGACGAGAAAGCACGTTGACTTGCAAAAATGAACGTTGAATTACGAGAAAGAACGTTAACTTACGAGAAAGCACGTTGACTCACGAAAATGAACGTTGAATTACGAGAAAGAACGTTAACTGACGAGAAAGAACGTTGACTTGAGAAAATGAACGTTGAATTACGAGAAAGAACGTTAACTTACGAGAAAGAACGTTGACTTGCAAAAATGAACGTTGAATTACGAGAAAGCACGTTGACTTGTGAAAATGAACGTTGAATTACGAGAAAGCACGTTGACTTGTGAAAATGAACGTTGAATTACGAGAAAGCACGTTGACTTGTGAAAATGAACGTTGAATTACGAGAAAGAATGTTAACTTACGAGAAAGCACGTTGACTTGCGAAAATGAACGTTGAATTACGAGAAAGAACGTTAACTTACGAGAAAGCACGTTGACTTGCAAAAATGAACGTTGAATTACGAGAAAGCACGTTGACTTGTGAAAATGAACGTTGAATTACGAGAAAGAATGTTAACTTACGAGAAAGCACGTTGACTTGAGAAAATGAACGTTGAATTACGAGAAAGAACGTTAACTTACGAGAAAGCACGTTGACTTGCAAAATGAACGTTGAATTACGAGAAAGCACGTTGACTTGTGAAAATGAACGTTGAATTACGAGAAAGAATGTTAACTTACGAGAAAGCACGTTGACTTGCGAAAATGAACGTTGAATTACGAGAAAGAACGTTAACTTACGAGAAAGCACGTTGACTTGCGAAAATGAACGTTGAATTACGAGAAAGAACGTTAACTTACGAGAAAGCACGTTGACTTGCAAAAATGAACGTTGAATTACGAGAAAGAACGTTAACTTACGAGAAAGCACGTTGACTTGAGAAAATGAACGTTGAATTACGAGAAAGAACGTTAACTGACGAGAAAGAACTTTGACTTGCAAAAATGAACGTTGAATTACGAGAAAGAACGTTAAAAGTCGAAGATGAAATAGTAAATAGTTTTAGTAGTGTAACAGTCGAGTTGCTCCCATCGGTAATGTGTGTTCAAAACTTATAATGGAACAAGATATTGCCGTCACAAGTGAGTAAAATTAAAGAGATCGCTCGAGTCTATATTCTGACAGTTCCTGTCTGCTGGAGATTACCGATTCTGGAAGGGAGCGGGAAAATTATTATTCGACGTCTTCGATGTAAAGTGATGTACGGAAGTTTAAATCAATGGCGTCTGTAGGCAGGGAGGTCGGTTAGACGTTTTAGGGGTGGTCTGGCGACAGAAGGAAGCTTTTGATATAGACAGAATGGACGCATTGGCTTGGAGGGATTATTTCACCTGAATTGTTCGAAACATGAAGAAATTATATACACGATATTTTGAAATGAAATGCTGTGTTTAATCATATTTATTTTCATAGCCTTCACCCTGTTCTTTTAAATCACACACACACACACACACATACATACATACATACATATATATATATATATATATATATATATATATATATATATATATATATATATATATAGTAAAGGTAACAAATCCGTTGGTATATAATCCAAGTGGATCCTAGTAATATAAATTATTAAAACTGATCCACAAAAAGAGCTCAATATATATATTATTACAGAGAAATATAATTAATAAACAATAAAAACCAAAATTATCATATATGGGGAAGAGTCTATTTCGGCAGACGAAGATGTCTTATCAACCCCGGTCTGGACTGAGTTCGTGTCAGAAATTTAACGGTGAAATCTAAAAAAATTGAGTGAAAAAACACCAGTCAAAATACTAATACAGAATATACCCATTTCATTGTTTTAGTCAGACGAAAGGCACAAGGCAGTGGTCAGGGAAGGGTGAAAAGTATTTGTCTTACTGAAGGTCTGAATGATTTTTCCTCTAACCATTGCTCATTTGTGAAGAGAGGGGCTGACACAAAACGATTTAACCTGTTCCCAATCTAGCTTATTCATATATTATATATATATATATATATATATATATATATATATATATATATATATATATATATATATATATATATATATATGCTGCATTTCGGCAGCGATCCCTTTTTTATACAGGAGTTCGTATCAGAAATATAAATTTTACGGTGAAAAGCTAACCAAAAAAATAAATAAATAAATAAAATAAAAAAATAGAAAAACACCAGTCTGAAAACTAATACACAATTTATACATTTCAATGTTTTAGTCAGACGAAAGGCACGAGGCAGTGGTCAGGAGAGGCTGAAAAGTATTTGTCTTACTGAAGGTTCGGATGTGAAGAGAGGGGTTGGCAAAAAAAAAAAAACGATTTAACCTGTTCACTTTCTAGGTTATATATATATATATATATATATATATATATATATATATATATATATATATATCAAAATGTAGAAGAACGAACACTAAGATTACAGCGTTCAGAACATTAAATTCAAAACGGTACTCAATACACAAAATAGAGCCGTAAATATTTATTTATCTTATGCAATATTACATTAAAACATACGCATATCCACTACAAAATTATAGATTGATGTTTCCATATCAAAAAAGGAAAACCTTGTTAAAACGTCTCATCAGGTGGGGAATTACGATGTTACTAAAGAGTTTTTAGTAACACCGTGATTCCCCACCTCATGAAACATTTACAAAAAATTTTCCTTTTTTTGACATTGACACAAAAATGTACAATTTTGTAGTGGATATGTGCATGTTTTAATATAACACTGCATAATATATATATATATTTATTAAAGACATTTTTACGTTTAACAGTTGTTATTTATAGATACAAGTATTTAAGCAAATGCTCTGTTTATAATAAACAGTATTAAATAACATTTACCGGCCTGAATGTCCGAGAAATTTTCATAGAAAATATTCGTTCTTTGACAGGATTCGAACCTGCATCCTATACGGAACCGTCATTTACGCTGACGTGCCTAATCTCTGGGACACAAAGCATACATACATAGATACAAGTATTTAAGGAAATGCTCTGTTTATGATAAACAGTATTAAATAACATTTACCGGTCTGAATTTTTGCTTAAATACTTGTATCTATAAATAACAACGTTAAACATAAAAATGTCTTTAATAAATAAATTGTCGGACCTTGTCCATTTCTTAATATATGACGTCATTTGTTTACATTTGATACGCCAGAGCAGTTATGAATGTACGAGATTCATGGAAGATTGAAGTTTATAAGCAGTAAATTCGACCTTGTCTACCGAAACAGCATAATTGCATATTAAAATTTTTGTTTGTTTTTTTTCATATTTTCTTCATATATATATATATATATATATATATATATATATATATATATATATATATATATATATATATATTTTTAGTATATTTCTGCAGTGATCCCTTTTTATACAAGTTTCATTAAAAAAGTCTTTTATATAATTTTTCATGTTCTTGTAATTATTTTTCTTTTCAGGAAATTTATTATACAAAAGTTATCGGAATGCTTTACATACTCAAACATTTTCGTCTATAGTTTTAGATATCATCAAGGATTATTTTATTTTTACAATTAACTGAATGTATGGATTGTTTTATGTATTTATCTAGAGTTATAGGAATGTTTTATCTTAAGAACATGGTCAACACATTGTGGCTGTGTTCATAGTTCATGTTATTGAGTACTGACTTTTCCTTTCTATTAACAATGCTTCGATTATGTTGAACCTTTCTTTTTTTACATGTGGATGAGGCTATTATATCTGTTTTATTAACGAGTATTTAGCGGATCACACCGCAAACTCGCTTTCACGACGCTTGACACTACATTTGAATGAAAAACATGCCGGGCCGCACACACAATTCCGTAAAATCCTAGTTGAAAACACAATTATACTTCAACATGAAAACAATAGACAAAAACTAAAAATCCTTGAAGCAATATACATCAAACAGTTGAAACCTAACCTAAACAAAATCAGCTATGGAATCTCTACAAATATCCTTAAATCTCTATAATTGGTAACAGAAGCCATTGGTTTATACCAACGGCTTCCCATACTTAATACTTGTCGAATTCACTCTCGTGTGGTCATGTGTGACGTCATGAGCTGCGGCGCGATATATATGTATGTGTATGTATATGTATGTATGGAAGTGTTTATGTATGTATGTGTATATGTGTGAATATATATGTGTGTGTATGTGTGTATGTGTGTATGCGGATGGATGTATGTGTGTATATACGCATGTATGTGTGTGTATGTATTTTTGTATATTTTTATATTTTTGTTTTTTTTATATATATATGTGTATATATATGTATGTATATGTGTACTTGTGTGTGTATGTGTGTATATGTAAGGGTGTATATATATGTATATGTGTATATGTGTATATATATATATATATATATATATATATATATATATGTATTTGTGTATGTGTGTATGTGTATGGATGTGTATGTGTGCATATGTATGTGTATGTGTATGTATGTGTGTATATGTATATGTATGTATATATATATATATAGATGTGTGTGTATATGTGTATAGATGGGTATATGCATGTGGGCATGTGTATGTATGTATATGTATGTGAAAAGTGTGTGTATATGGATATACATGAATATGTGTATGTGTAGAGATGTGAATATATTTTTATATGTATGTACATGGGTATATATTTGTGTGTATGTGGGTACACGCCCATGTGTATATACGTGTATATGTTATTGTGTATGTGTGTATTCGCATGTGTTTTTGAACATAAAAATATAGGTCCTTGCTAGATTAGATAATCGTTATATTTATTTTTTATATGTTTATATTTGATTTGTAACCTGTAATCGATATTAAATGTCAAATTTTCTCAATTACAAAGAGGCCCTTTAAGTAAACGCAATTTCACTTTCCGTCGTCAAATCTCTCTCCCCCACCTCGTCTTTCCCTCCCTCTTATTCTAACATTAAATTGTCTATGGTGTGTGTATGTCACCACGAAATGTATCTTTATGCATTAGACATCCGACAACATTCATTTTTCTCTTAATTAAACCCCCTTCCACCCACCTCCCTAAAATTCTCTCTTAAGGTTTAATCTCCTCCTCCTCATACTTACACTCTCTAAATTCTGTTTTTTATTCCCGGAGTTGTTTTTTTTCTGTTGTCTTTTTGAATTTGTAGCTCTGATGAATTGATCGTATTTACGATTCCAATGGAATAAATTATGACCATGGAATATTAGTGTTTAAGCCTTTTTTTATTATATCCTTATTTTGTCCTGACATTGAGTTCTACCTGGATTCTTCCTCTTGAATTTTTATTCTAAAAATATACATGGACTCTACATTTTCGCGACGGAATATATATATATATATATATATATATATATATATATATATATATATATATATAACAACAGATTTTTCTTAATGCCACACCAAGACAAAATAACATCAAGAACAAGGATCATAGCTTTATTATTAAATAGATAAAAAATTATTTTGTTTAAGAAAGGGATTGGCGAATCCTTTTGAACTGACTTCTACTGCCCGTCTACGGACATATTTAATAATAACTTTTTTAGCCTCCCCCCGCCCTATTTACATGTCTATTGGTCTATTGATCTCTCAGCTCTAAGTTGATGATCCCTCTTCCGGTTGTGACCCTCTGATCGATTTTTCCCTCTCTATAGTTCCATCTTTTAAACTGATTTACCGTTCCTTTGATGGACTCGGAAGATGGAAGCCAGAGTATGAATATTGGTACCATTGCTAAAGGCCTGAATGATTTTCTTTTCCTCTCACCATCGCCCAGTTGGGAAGACAGTGGGGTTGACACAAAACGATTTAAGCTGCTCCCTTTCTAGCTTAATAACTCAAAGGTTTTTTTCTGACCTACATACGAAAATGTTGTTAAGATGGCTAAACGTCTTATCTG